GTACTCAATTCGGAGTTTTGCCCCTCCTCTTTCCATCGCTGATCCCATTCTTTAAAGAGTTGAATTTTGATTTCTTTTTTGACATAGTTTTTTCCCATGGGTAACGCTACCGGTTCTCCATGAGTTCGCGCTTTATTTGCTAGTTTATCTGCCAATTCATTTCCCTCCACCCCAGTGTGGCCTTTCACATGCATTAGATTTATACTATGCATTGTTCGAACTGTTTTAATGGTATTTTTTATGAGTTGAATTATTGGATGGTTATTGTGGGGGTTAGCTAGGGCCTGCAGTGTGGATAAGCTATCCGTGAATAGGTTAAAGGTTGTACTGTTTTTAAAAGTTGATATGTATTCCAGACTTTTCAGAATTGCAATCATTTCGGCATCATATATTGTTGCGTGCTTTTCTAATTTGTACATTGCTTTCTTATTTGATTTTTCCGATTCATCTAGTATTATAAATGCTGCTCCTACCGTCTGGTTACAGACAGATCCATCTGTGAAGATGTTAAGCTGAGCAGTGCTAGGCGCTTTTTTAAAGAATGATACAGCTGTTTTTTCTGCTGGGTGCGTATCCCAGGGATCTAACAGTTTTTGAATTTTTTCCGTCTCCCAGGTCGTCCCAAGTATAGTGTGGTCACTGTTTCTCTGAAACAAGTGAAATGACGCGGCTTCTTTATCGAGTGTTAGTGCTATTGGCATAATGTTTGAGAGAATATTAAGGTTGATATTGCTAACGGTGCGGTATGCTTTAGTTATTTTCAAAACCGGCGTTCTTTGTACTGACTGTAGCTTTCTGGCCAAGTGCGAATTGTTTGTATTTTTCCACCATACGGGGGCGGCGTACGTAATTGCTCGTTCTATTCCTCTGATATAAATGTCTCTGAATTGTGTCCCCTTGATGCCCCAGTTGACCCCGGAAAACATGCCGAGGGCTTAGGTGCTTTGAGTTATTTTAGATTTTAGATATTCTGCATGTGCCGTGAATGTCAGTTTTGAGTCGAAAACGACCCCGAGGATTTTTAATGAATTTACATGAGTGAGGTTGCGACCTCCCAATTTAATGGTTGGTACTCGTTTTTTATACCGATCTCCAATATCAAGAACTTCGCACTTGGCCGGGTTAAAGCTTAGCCTTTTTTCATCTCCCCATTCTTTAATGAGGTTTAGCGCCCAGTTTGCATTGTCCTCCAGTTCTTTCCGTGATTTTCCCGTCACTATTAGGGTTACGTCGTCAGCAAATGCCTGAATCGTTATATTGTTTTCGAATCTTTGTTGAAGAAGATCCGCAATAACAACATTGAAAAGAAGTGGACTGAGGGGTGAACCTTGCGGACACCCCTTTACTGAGCCGATAGTAATTTTTTCGCTTTTTGTTAAGTAGGACATTTTGCGGTTTGTCAAAAAGTCTCGAACCAAATTGAAGAGATTTCTGGGGCAGTTGTTTTCTCTTAGTTTGTTAATTACTACTGGGGCCCAGAGCGAGTTGAAGGCTCCCTTGATGTCCAGAGACACCAAGATTGCCCCCTTCCCCTCCCTCTTGACGTCCTCCAGCTTAGTTTTAATTTTGTATAACGCGCTTACTGCAGACTTTCTGTGGGTAAAGCCAAATTGGTTTTCATGAAGTAGTTTTTTAGAGTGTAAGAAATGGTACAGCCTATTGTTAATTAATTTTTCTAATACTTTACCAAAGATGGAGTTCAGACAGATCGGTCTATATCCGGAGGGACTGTCAACCCTATTTGTCTTTTTGAGTAGTATTATTCTTCCTTCTTTCCATTCAGCGGGGAAATAACCAAATTCCAGACACGCGTTGAAAATTTTAAGAAAGAGTTCTTTAAAGTTGTTGTAGATTGTTCTCAGAAAAAAGGTTTTGATATTATCAATTCCTGGTGCAGTTGTTAATTTCAATTTAGCCAAAACAGCATCTACCTCTGCTGAAGTGAATGGTATGTCATTGATTGTATTGATATCTTCGAGTGACATGAGACGCACGTTGGTCTCATGTGCCGAGTCGCTGTTTGGGTCATCTTCCTCGAATAGCGTTGTTAGGATAAAACGTACTGTCTCTGCCAGACTTTTCGTCCGAACTCCATCTGGTAACACGAGAGGACAAAGCACTACCGGGCGTTTAAGTTTGTTAAGTGCTATCTTATATGGGAGGGTAAAAACATTATTGCCGTGGATGACACCGCAGAACTCTTTAAAAGAGCTCTGCTTTGCATCCTTTATGTTGCTTTTATAATCTTTGTGCGCTTCATAATAGGATTTCTTAAAGTGATCTCTATTGTTATTTTTGCAATTTTGATATCTGCGCCGAAGCGCCCGAATTTTTTTACGTTCGGTAGAAAGTTGTGGGGTCCACCATTTAACTTCATTTGCTCGATAGGTAAAAACCTTGGAATATATTTCCGTAAGTTCTTCAATTTTGTCATAAAATGTTCTAATTACATGCTCTAAATGATTTTTGGAAACGAGAGGTCTGCTTGACATGTCCCTAAGCCAGCGGTCTTTTATTAATTTGTCTATAACCTTTATCTCGCCTATTTTTGTTAGTCTTTTGACTGGGCACCTGTTTCCAAAAGCTGTAATTTTGATGTAGCTGTGGTCGCTGCCTGAAGGAGTGTCCAAAACCTCCCAATCCGAAATGTGTCCTAATGTGTGTCCATTTACAATAGTTAGATCAATCCAACTTTCGCCGTTTGGTGAGGCGAAAGTTGGGGACGAGTTTCTGTCATTGATCCACACTAATTCTAAGCTTATAAAAAGGTCTGCTAATTCCTCTCCTCTCTGGTCTAATCTCTGTCCCCCCCAGCTGGGGTTTTTTGCGTTAAAGTCTCCTAATAATATAAGTTTTTCTGATTTGTGCTGTTCTACAACTTCGGTGATTATTTGCAGCCAAGGTGTTATGTCGTCATCAGGTGGTATATAAACGTTTGCTAGCACAAACGTTTGGTTTTCTGTGTTACAGCGGACCACTAGCAGATCTCTGGCTACGGTAATAGGAAATGCATCGCAAAAGTTATCGTGAATTACCATTGCGACTCTGGGTTTTGTTTCGAATGCTATGACATTATCTTTAATGCTGAATCCCACAACCTTGTTTTTAAGATAATAAGGTTCCTGAATGCAGGTGATGCGTTGTTTAATTTCCATAGTATCTATCCTAAGTTGGTCTATAGCTCTTATACAGTGATTTGCGTTAAACTGCAGGATATCTCGTCTGCTATCCGAGCTGGTCATAGTTAGTGTTTTAAGTTAATGTATGTTCAGCTCAAAAGCGGGAAAAGATAACTATTGAATTAGAGCTATGTACCTATGAATGCTTGGTAAAGGGGCTTTTAGTAGGCTAAATATCGTCGAGCCTGCTGCTCCTTCTCAAGCAGGGCCCTGCATGCCCTCGAACCAAACGAGTGTTCGACGTGAAATCTCGTATTGAACTTCTCGTTGCTCCGAACGCATGCACGGCACCGCTTCTCCATTGCCCTGCAGTTGGCCCCGGGGTGGTCGCCGGAACACTCAGTGCAGGCCGAGGACTGGTCTTTGCACACTTTAGCTGTGTGGCCATAAGTGCAACACTTCGTGCAGCGCCGGACGCCAAGGTTCTCATAAACGGGGCAGGACGTCCATCCGAGATACACCCTCCTCTTTTGGAGGAGGATGTCCCTCGTCTGGGGCCCAACCTCCAGAATATGGACCATGGTGCCCGATGCTGCCCGAAATGAGGCCACGACCTTGTTCTGGTCTTCGGTTGGGAGGTCGTTCATTGAGGTTAGGGTCTCAACTAAGTCCGCAGCTTCCACCCCTGGGTCAACCCCCACAATCTTGACCTGTGGGGCCCTTTTTTCTGAGCGCCTAGTTGTAAGCTTCAACGCGGTTGCCGGGTTGGCCTTAATGGCCTCCGCGAGGCGGTCTAGTCCGGCCGCGCTGTGACCGAGCACAATAGCCCCACCTCGCACTTGCTTGATCTCGACGCAGCCGAGTCCGAGGTCCGCGGGCTGGAAGGTAGTACGCAGCAGGTGGGAGATCCCTGCGTAGGGCTCCACCCCAGCTGCTGGCTTGGTTGCAGGGTAGATCAAAAGGCTCTCCCTGGGGGCTGAGGGTGGTGTTGTTGGCTTGGGGGCCTCGGGTGATGCCCCCCCCTGCTGCTGGCCGGCGGGGCTCGGGCTCGAAGTCGCCGGGTTCTGCTGGAGAACCTGCGAGAAGGTGCGCTGCAGGGCGGCAACACTCTCCGGCGTGGGGGACGGGGCTGCGGGGGCTGGGGCCCTCTCCCTCTTTTCCCTGTACGCTTCCATCTTTGCCGCAAGTGTTGTGTTCTGGTTGATTAGGTCTAGGGCAAAACCAAACAGACGGTCGTATGCAGCATGCAGGTTGGCCACGTGAGTCTTACTGGTTTTAGTGCCCACCGCTGGGATTGCCTCACTTATGTCATGGTACATGTCTACCAGAGTTGCGGAGTTCGGGTTAAGTTTAAATTTCATGTTTTTTGTCTGCGCGGCGAGCGTCTCTTGGGTCGGAGGCGAATCCCCGTTGCCCTTCTCAGTTACCTCCTCCCCTGGGGGGGAGGCATCGCCAGTAGTGCTGCCCGGCATCTGAGCGTCTCAGATGACGAACAGGCTTGCAAAAGAAACGCCCAAACGCAAAAATAAAAACCAAACCCGAAGCCCAGCCGAATCGCAGTACCAAAATCCCCAGCTACTCTTCGCGACGAAAGAAAAGTGAGTCTTTTGTGCCAAAAATGGCGCGGACAAAATCACAAAGGGACACCCCTAAAAATAATAGAAAATGGCCTAAAATGGGAAAAAAAAGGCCAAACAAACGTATTCTCGCGACCGCGCTACAGCAACGAGTGCCGACCTTAGCCCTGCACCGCCATTAGTGTTAAGAAAGAAAAAAAAATACTACATAGCGTTTTCGGTCGGAAGAAAAAAAGGCGGGAAAAGTGCGCTTGAACAAAAAGCCTATAAATCAGCAAAAAACTGATATACACAGACTGCACCACCTGGAAACGGTGGTGCTAGCCTTTTAGTTACACAAGGAACCTAGCTTACCCGTCCAGCTAAGCGGAAAAACCCCCCGAAAAGAAATAAAAAGAAGTTAGCCTGCGTAGTTCAGGCTTCCTTTGTTTGCCCCCTGGCCTAGCACTGCACCACTTCGAAACTCAAAGTAGCAGTAAAAATAAAAGTTTTGGCTCTACAAAAGAAACAAACACACGCTCGTGTTCGCGCAAACGCGAGGAACACGGGTGTTAGATTTATACGTACGGGCGAGCGCTCAAACTCTGAGTTTGGACGCAAAATCAAGTGGCAACCATCTTGATTTTTTCCCGCTAGGCCTAGCTCACACAAAAATGCTCAGAAATCAAAGAAAATTAACTTTAGAAAAACAAAAACACCTGGAAACTAATCGGTATACCTTTAGATACTAATACCTAACAGAATATACTTCCAGCTAGCCTGGAAATATAAAAATTATACTTAGCTTGGGGAGCTCATTCGATGCACGTCTTGCCCCCTCGGCGCCTAGGGAAGAAGACCAGTAGATAGGGACAGTGGGAATCTCGTTAATCCATTCATGCGCGTCACTAATTAGATGACGAGGCATTTGGCTAACTTTTTATTGGAAGAATCCAACTCGTTCGCTTTTTAAGGAAGCTTAACCTCATTGTCACAAACACCATAGCACATCCAAGTGTGGGAACGACACAGCACTCAAAACACAAAATGAACACTGACTACAGAAGACTAACAGCACTTCAATATTCAATTTCATACAACAGGAGTTCCCCTGTGCAAAGGGGAAAAAAAGAGATAGTTGTTTATTTTTATACATGTCTAGTTGACTCTAAGGAGGCCATTACAGAGATGACAACAACAATCTCAAGAGAATAAAAAGAACACAAAACACAGAACGAAAGAAAAAGATACATACACATTGGTTACATAAAAAAAAACAAATATGGCAGGCGAGATTCCACACACCTACGCCCCTCCAAAACAACAACAAAAGAAAGAACACATGGGGGAGAACAATAAACAGTTTACACACTTCGGTTTGTTCCCCGCATGAAGTGGTAGAAACATCGCAAGGAGCCACGAACTACCTTGAGGATTAAAGAGGAAATGTCACGCTTTGAGAAGCCCAGCAAGCCCAAAGCCTCAGCTGATCTTGGGCAAACGAGCCCTCTCTCAGTGGCTGTTATGGCGTGCACGGCTACAGTGGTTACCGAGAACTTGGACCTTACTGCGTCCACAAAGTCCGGAGCAGAATACGTCCTAATCTTGTCCTCATTAAGTGAGTTAAGGCTTTTGTATTCCCCGACTATTTGAACATCTAGAATCCATGCCCTCTCACCCTTTACACAAATTAAATCTGGGTACCTGATTTCGTCTTTTACATTAATTCTGGGCTCCTCGGACACCGTGCAGCCATCATTTCTCATCTTCTCCGCAATCCAGGATGCCACACAATTATGTCTTTCCAGGCGCGGCGCATACGACCGAGGACACACCTGGATAATATGTGCGTGTGTCTCAGGGAAGGCACAGCCAGCCCTGCAGCGGGTGTCCTTCGCCCTTCCCCTGGCGCACCTCGTCTTGGACGGAAGCGCGTGGGCCCTAAGTTTGATTAGGTCGACATACTCCCGTCCATTCAGAAAGTGCGGTGGGTTCCGGATGAAGGCCGCAGCAGCACATGTCCGTGCCTCCCTCAACCCTCTCGTGTCCACCATCTGCAGCAGCTGGTCTCTCCAGTAGCTGCGCTCCTGTGTTCTAGATTCAATCGTGACACCCTTAAATTTCACCCCTTTCCCCGCCCTCTCCACCTCATCTTTCCATGCCGTCATGGTCATCAGACTCTCCAACATTCCGTCGCCAGCGCCCTGAACCCCAAGCAGCCGGGAACGGCGGATCCGAGGAATCATTGTCGCGAGACAGGTGACCCCCAACCCGCCGTCCCCCACCGCAGCGTATAGGAAGGCAACTGGAACGTCCTTCGGAAGATGCAGAAAGAGCCGGACAGCCGCTCTAATCCTACGGTCAATCTGGTGTAGGTATGTCTTTGACTTGGCACTCATAACCAAGCCATAGATTAGTCTCGGTATTAGGTAGAAGATTAGAATGTTCATCTTCTGCTGAGGTTTAAGGGGGGCCCTCTCTAGCCTTACGATAAGGTCGTCGAAATTCACCCCATTGTACCATATCTCCCCTGATGTGTTAACTTCGACCCCCAGATAGCGCCATGAACCTGAGCAATCAATCACTCGAAGTGGTTCTCCATTTACTTTGAAAGCCACTGGGCAGATTTTTGCCTTTTTGTTTTTCCCGTCTCCTACGAGGCTTAGGGTCGAAGACTTCTTTACGTTTATTGTGAGACCCCTAGTGCTCAAAAATTCCTGGAACTTGTCGAGGAGAAATTGTAGGCCAGCCGCCGTCTCCGCCAGAATCACGAGGTCATCAGCAAAAGCCAACGACGCGCACCGCCCCTCACCCAGTCTCACACCAAAGCCCGGGGGGATGCTGTCGATGAACTCATCGATGACCGCGTTAAACAACAGCGGAGACAGCGGGTCACCTTGTCTGACTCTCTTCCCAGGGCGCACTGTCCTTTCCACCCCTCTGTGTTGCAAGGTTGTAGTAGAATTTGTGTAGAACCAATGCAGGTAGTCAATCATGGACTTCCCCACCATTTGGTGGCGTGCAAGTCCATTCAGTATTGCGGTGTGTGTGGCGCTGTCAAATGCCTTTGACAGGTCTATATTAGCCATGTAAAGGCTTCGCCCCGCGGCATGACTTGTATTAAGTAGCGTACTCAGAATCATGATGTTCTCAAAGCATCCATCAGTGCTTTTAAACGCCCGTTGCTCGTCACGTAGGTGAACAATCTGTCTCAACCTTTTGTCTAGGATCTTGTGAAAGGTGCGCAGGAGCACCGAGCCAATCGAGATCAGCCTATACTCCCCTGGCTGAGAAGCTGCCTCCACTTTAGGGATAAAGATGGTTCGAGCATTCCCCAGCTTCATGGAGGCACGACCCCAGTACAAGAACAAGTTGTAGAGCTTCACTACAAAAGTTCTCGGGATTGCCTTAAACTCTTTGACCGTCAGTCCGTCAGGGCCAGGTGCACTGGAGTGCTTTGGCATGTTTTCCTGTACTTCCTGCTCTGTTATTGGCAGTACTGTCACGTCCCGTGCATCCAATAGATCCTCCGAGGGACAGGGCTCATCCGTGGGTGTCTCGCTCATAACCCGAAACCAGTAGTTAACGAGTTCGTCTGGAGCCACCTGATCCTCCTTCACACCGTCCAAGACTCGTTGAGCACACACTTTACGGTTCTTGTTGTAAAGGTTTTGGACGATGCGGTATTCCTTCTTCCTAGCATTTCTTTTACTTAAGTGCTCCTCCGGGGCAGGTTGACGACCGTTCTCCGCAGGATGCTCGTACCTACTCAAAACTCGGTCAAGATCAACTGCAAACGGTTCTCCCCGAAGAGCCGTCCTAATCACCTGGTTCAAGCTCTTTTCCTCCGCCGTGCCTCCGGAGCTACAGTGCTCCTCCAGCCACTCCGCAAGCTTAGTCTTTCCCAAGAACAACTCGGAATCTTCAGTTGCGCTACTCGAGCAGGCATCAGCATCTAGGTCCCCCGGGGGCGGGACATGTTCTGTTTCCAGAGCAATACCAGTGTTGCTCTCTGCGTTATCCCGTCTCTCTTCTGATTTGCTTCCCCCGGTCTGCGGGGTCGGCGACTCCCGCTGCTCTCTTCTGGCCTGCCGCCCCTTTATTCCCTGTTTATTTTTCGGAGATTTCTGTCCCTCTTTCACAAATTTACGGACAAGTGCCTTATACTCTGCTTTTCTGCGCTGTCCCTTTACAGACTCTGTCGTTCTCCCCTTCCCGCCCCTCCCCTTCCCACAAAACTTCTTGAAAAGGATATTGTTAATACCCAGCGGCTTCACTCCCTGCAGTAGCGCTTCTGCTTCTGCTTTAGCTAGAAAATATGTTTCCTCCTCCGTCCATCTAGCCTTCACTTTTTCTATCACAATCTCCTCATTCAGATTAACATTGTCACATTTCCTCCTATGGCTCGCAAGTCCCCTCGTCTTAAACACTTTCCCACACTTCGGACACGCCACAGTGTTCATGTCAGGGGCACTCATGTTGACTCAACACAAGTTGCAAGAAGTATCTTTGCTAATCCAACCCCTGGTAACCAACATACAACTTACAGATGGATCACTGACTCAGTGATCCAATAGTTACACTTAATTCACACTTACATAGCACAGCATTTTGCTACCTTATTGCTGGCATACAGACTTACAACGATACACACTCTATTGCACTGCAAAACATCATACACAACCCCCAAAATCCACAACAGGCAATACAAGCAAAAACAAAAACACTCGACCCGAAAGTCTGGCAACCCCTCTCCCCAGAACTGCTGAGCAGACACAAAAATCTGGCACCCCAAATACACCACGTGGTTTTCCGAAAAAAACGGTTAATTTGGGCAAATATTTGCATCTATACGCTGTGAAGATTAGCAGGGAGGCAGCTACTACCCCCAGAATACCAATTAGCTGGAGTTTCAACCCGCGAACGGCCTATTAATGCGAATTTTAAGCAGAAATCAATTTACCTCACCTTACCCAGTTTAGTTGTGGTATCGCACTGGCTCCGGGGCCAAGAAATGGGCTTTCAATAGTAAAACATTTTTTCAACGCTAATTATTAGATTGGATGCTGTCAAAAGCACCTCCCATGCTGCGGCTTCGTCCCCTGATGCCCTGTGTTGAAGGGGAAGCCTTCACTGCGCCGGGATCGGCCTACAGCGCCGTTTTAGTGCGCTTGGCACGAAAGTCTGGCAACCCCTCTTACCAGAACTGCTGTGCAGACACGAAAGTCTGGCAACCAAACCTCAACACGTGGTTTTTTCGCAAAAAACAGTTAATTTGGCCAAATATTGGTATCTACGCGCTGGAAAAATTAGCAGGGAGGCAAC